TTTTTTTTTTTTTTAATGTATAAAATTTAGACTCCATTTCCCTTATAAAGCTGCTGGGGCTTGGCTGGACAACATTGACAGTCTGATTCCTGTGATTCTGAAACACAGATTTTAAACCTGATAATAACTCACCATGTTGGGATAAGATGTTTGTATATTGCACATAGGTACATGGTACATGAACTTTGTTTTTTAAAGGTATCAACCTCTTAAATTTATGAGAGGCACATTGTGAGGGGCTGCATTTGTCTGAATTTCACCTTCAGCTGGCCCCACAGCTGCCTGAGGTCAGAAAGTTTTCCATGATCCACTTTTTGATCCTGAATTAACAAGCTTGGAAACAGGTGAATGGACTTATATCAGCCCCCTGGAACTTGAAGTTGACTGACCACTATTAGCCCATGTTAGTGTGTTAGGGAAATCTTTCATTGCACGTGAAGATTTGCTGTAACATTTTGACTATATTTTGTGGGCTTCTGGGAATTGTGCTATTTTCCTTTGTAAACTGCCCTCATCCTTCTCATTTGAAGGAGAGTTGAGGTGTGTAATGCAGGGGATGCATTTAATGGGGCTTTACTTATCTGCCTTTCTTTAGCAATGTAGGTGGCTCTCAGCATCTATGTTGTAGATACATGAGGTCAGGGAAGGATACCTAGCAACCTCTGGAAGAGATGGGCTTCTTGGTAAATGTTTATTGAATTACGATAGAGGCAGATGTGGAAAACCAATTCAGAACTTGGCCTTTATATGCCTCTTCTCCCGGAAGTAAAATTATTCTCACTGTGAGAGAGAGGGCCTTGGACCAAAGCTTCCTGAGGACTTGAATATATTTTACTCACTCTTGTATTAATCCTGTCACTAATGTGGCATCTGAATACAGATTAAAAGCTTTAGGAGGCCTTAGGTAGAGTAGGACTCAGAACCATTCCCCTGTCTCAAGCCAAAAAGTAGTTCTAGGGGACACACAGAACATCAGGGAATTGTTAACAGTAGGCAAGAATTATCTAGATGGGAACATGGGGAAAACTCACAGACACTTATATTTACTTGGCACCTATCACCAAAGACTTGTATTTAAGACACCATTCACTAGTTTGATTGATACCCACAGCAGCTCTGAGAGAGATGTTAGGAGCTTAGTCTCAACAGTGGAAACATGTACTTGGTTTGAACACTGGTCCTGTATTCTAGGGGTGTGTGTGTGTGTGTGGAAGCATAAGTTCAAGTGTTCTGTGCTATCATTTGGCCTTATGAAAATAAGGGAGAAGAAGAGATTACTAACAAGTGAAGTATAAATCTTAGTGGGAACCAGGGACCCACTTTTAAAATTTGAATGTCTTGGTCCTGGGTCCACTGTAAGTAACCATGTTTTATGGTCATGGTGCTGTCTCAGAAACTGTAGAACAAAGCCTCCTGCGAAACCAAAAAAAAAAAAAAAAAAAGCCCCTTTCGTGCAGTTATAATTCTTTCATGACTTTATTCACTTTACAATGTTCTGTTAGTGAATTTTATGATTCTTACCCCTTGTGTGAGAATGTACATACTTTGGAAATTTGAATCTATCCAAGTAAGCCACCTGTGAACTTGGAGTTTTTGCAGAAGAGTTCTAAACTCAAAGCCCAGTGCATGTGGATCTGGTTCCAAGCTTTCCCACTTGGGGTTTCCTCTGTACTTTTTCCAGACCACATAAGTAGCCTTATTTCTGAGGGCAGCCTTCGGGGTAAAGGTATAGAAAAGGTGGTGAGCACTAAATGCACTGGAGGTTTTCTTGCTTCTGGTGTTTCAGAACTCTTGGATTTTTCACAAGAACCAGCAAAACTAGGAGAGGGGGGAAATGGAGAAATAGGCCTAAAACTCCCTCCCTACTTACGTCTTTTCTGACTTAACACACTGTTTGGGTCTGGTCTGTCCTGGTGCTATGGCCTATCACAAAGGACGGTTTTAAAAGGAAAACAATCAAAAAAAAAATAAAAATAAAATAAAAATTAAAAAAAGGAAAACAATCTACAGCCTTGCCGGACAAGTCCTCAACACCAGCAGTCAAGTGTGGACCCTGAGCCATGGGAGGCAAGGGTCTCTGACTATTTTTGGGGACAAAGGATGATATTGACCAGTGAAATGATGCCACCATTGCTCATGGTGCCTGTTCTCACAGTGTGTGGAAGCTCAGTCCTGAGGTTTCTACGTGGTTTAGTCAACCTAACTGCGTGCTTAGCTTGGCCAAATGGAGGTGGGCAAATAGCGCTTGAAGAAGGACGAGGACAGGCTTTAGGGGTAAAATCAAGTCACAAAGCAGATGACTAAAGGGCCCCTACAAAGTTGAGACAATTAAAACTGGACAGTTCCTTATCTCCTTTTGCAAGAAGTCTCTAAGGAAGTGTAGTTCGAATGTTTCTTTTGAGATTTTAAAGTGCTCATTTATTTTCCTCTTCCCTTCTTCCTTTCTTTTTTTGGTTCAATATTCTCTAAAGACAATCAGAGGCCTGCCAGGGTGGGACTTCTGGCTGGTTCCAGCCCTCTCCTTAGGCCTCTTTCTAATACTAACTTGTTGGAACTGATGCACTTTGTTTATTGTATGCTACCTTTTTTTTTTTTTTTTTAAGCTGCTTGTTTGGAACAAAACAAAATGCATATTGCATTGTATCCTTCCTGCTTGCTGTTTTTCTCTTAATTTTAAAAGTTATGAGTTGAGGATAAAGTATAATTAAGGAGAAATATGCACAAGAATACCTATTAAAATAATTCCCATCAAGTTTGATGGGTATAACTTCAAGGGATTAAAAAATAACTATTTTGGATCAATATTTTGCGTGGGTTTTTTTTTGTAATTAAGAGTGTATATAAACTTGTGGCATATTATGGCAGTTTTAAGTGGTTGTAAGAACATTAATACAGGTCTTAAGCTATGTTTAACTTCATTTGACAGCAAAGAAGACATCTTGGCCAGAGTAAATCCTTCAAAACTCTTTCCAGTGGGGCCTCAGAATCATCTCTGGAAGGAGGAGAAAGTTCCTTTCTACTTTAATAAACTGAGCCTTTCCAGAATTCTCCCCCCTTCTCCTGCTGTCTGACCTTTACCCTCTGGACTTAGGGACTTTTTAATTGCAGGCCAGGAAAGGTAGGAAGAGCAGAATTTCCCCACAGCGACCTTGCTCCTGGCGTTGGGGAATCTGCCCCTGATCTCGGAAGAATGCTTCTTGTTTGTCTACATTTGTCTTGGTACAGCAGCAACGGGCCTTAAGGATCCCTCCACACCTGGAAGGACAGAGCAGTGCTTTGTCAAAAACGTCATTCTCCAGCTCTTATGTGCAACTTCCCTTAGGCTGCCTGTATCTTCAAGCAATTAACAGTCTCCTTATACTCAGCCCACAATCTCTTCTGCTTTAAGTACACATCCTCTTGTTTGATTCCCTCTGAACATGGACTGTAACTGTTGAGCATCCCCGTAAGAGACCTTCTTAGATTTAAAGGCAGTAATGCAATTTTCCCTTACCTATTTATATTCTTAACCTGATTTTCTGTATTTTCCCATGGTCAATACTTGTGGAGAGTTTTAAATTTTATAAATTAAAATTCAGTTTAATTTAAAAAAAGTGTTGCCATGTTCTGTGTGCCAGGCGCTATGTTGGATATAAGGGTGAATAATGTAAACCAGTTCCCGCCCTCCGGGAACTCACACTCAGCTGTGTGAGAGACACATGTAAAACCATCTGATTAGCAGTATGAAAAGCTCTAGTGGAGCAGTATACACAAGGTAGTATGGAAGCCCACCGGAGAGGGAGGTCAGGCAGGCCTTAAGCACGAGGAGTAGTTCATTCAGCAGAAAAGGGAACAGTAGTACACACAGCTGAAATGCCGTTTAAGACCCAGAGCTATGAAGTGCATTGTAAGAGAAGGGCTCTAAAGAGCCAACAGCATTTCTGTTCTCTGGATAATCAGGTTAGTATTCCTGTTAGCCATGAAAGCTTTTGTGTGGCATTTAGCCCTTTTATATAATTGGAATTCATTGGTGACTATCTTTTAAGGGTAAGTTTCCCTAGGTGGAGTATCTCTTGTTCCACAAATACAGCCCAGTGTCTATTGGAATAATATGTGTACATGGTCATTAAGCAAATGCAGCAGGAAGGCTGGGGACTTGAAGGAATCAACAAGAGGTGTCTGGAGAAAAGGCAGAGGTGTTGGGAGGATAGATGGGACAATAGAGACTAGAGGCCCTAATAGAGGTAGAGAGCTCCTTCCAAGGAGTCAAGGGGTTAAGGTGGGAGTAAACGTGCATGCAAGGAGGGAGGCATTAGAGACTCTGAGAGTTACCAACAACTTGGCTTTATGAAGCACGTTCAAAATGGACATGATGGGGATATGTTGACCTATTTTCAGTATAAACCTTGTATATTTCTAAACGACCACATCTGGATTGAAATAACCATTTACATTATGCTCAGGGAAGAAAAAAAAGTCCACTCAGGCGGATTGATCAATCTAAGATAAACTCTTGGCCACAATATTCATACTAACAAGGAAAATAGAAGAACGTCGAACGTCTGTACTGGAAGGAATATTACTGTGTGCAGTCTTGGATTGTTTGCCTCACTGCTCCTTCAGAATAATCTAGGCCGCTTGCTGAAAATGCAGATTATTCTGCTCGGTCTCAGAGCTACTGAATCGGAAACTGAGGGTGGAATCCAGGAGTGTTTTTAGTAAATTCTGCAAGCTACGATGGCTTAATCTTGGAAAGGAAAAGAATTTAGTCGCAGACGATCCCTGCTCCTGCCTTGCCGACCTGGAGCTCAGGGTCCGGGGACTCGCTCCCTCCAGTCCGTGCTTCCCGGCTCACCTGGTCCGTTCTACCTGTGGCCCGGACGCACGACCCCGCCCCCACGCCTGGCCGGAGCCCCGCCCGTGGTGGGAGAGAGCCGGAGCGGCCGAGGCCCGCCCCCACGCCCGGCCGAGCCAATCGGGCGCTGCGATCTCAGACGTCGGGTTACGCGCGGCGGCGAGTGGGCCGCGGGGCGGAGGTACCGGCTCCTGTCTCGGACTCCCGGCCCGGGGCTCGGCGGTGCGGCCCCCGCACGCAGCGAGGCCGGCCGAGCTGG